TATTTTTTAGTAGAGACGGGGTTTCACCGTGTTAGCCAGGATGGTCTCGATCTCCTGACCTGGTGATTCGCCCGTCTCGGCCTCCCAAAGTGCTGGGATTACAGGTTTGAGCCACCGCGCCCAGCCAAGTGAAAGCTTTATATGTATAAAATGCACTGTCTGGCTGAATCAAATGCAACTTAGTCATCTGTTGTTTTATAAACTGCTTCAGTGAGACAGTCCCCAGAAATACTTTAGGTCTAAAGGAGTCTGTATTCCCAACACAGAAAATAACTTTCAACTAAAATTAAGATTTTGACAAGAGAAATTTAAGTGGTTTCATGACACTAAACACAGACCCTTGAGGAAAATAGCATCATTCCAGTAAAGGAGGAGGTTTGCTGACTAGTTGTGAGGTGAAATCAAATAGGTTGTACAATCAGGTGCCCCAGAGGACAAGTGTGTAAACGGCTGAAGGTAGTGGAGAAGTTAGTGATAAAACACTGTGGTTGGGAAAAGGATGAACTCTCAGGGCCTGTGGCTCTGTGAAGTGGAGATGAGACTAAGGAGAGCGAGAAGTCATTAATGTAAACGTTAAAGACTACACTCTATTTATACCCCCGATGATGAAAGAGAGGCAGATGGGATATTTGAAAAGGTGGCAAGCCACTGTCACATGTGGGACAGAGAAAGGTTATAAAAAGTATATATACATACTGAGCTATTCATACGTGAGAAAGGTTTGCAGTCTGGTGTCTAGTACGTGAACTCCCTTAGAAGTTGGGAAGGGAAAGATAAGATCTACTCTCGTTTCTTTGTTTTTATTTTTCGAGACAGAGTCTCAGTCTGTCACCCAAGCTAGAATGCTGTGGTGCAATTTCAGCTCACTGGAGCCTTGACCTCCCGGGTTCAAACAATCCTTCCACCTCAGCCTCCCAGGTAGCTTAGGACTACAGGCACACACCACCACGCCCAGCTAATTTTTATATATTTTTGTAGAGATGGGATTTTGCCATGTCACCCAAGCTGTGCTCAAACACCTACACTGAAGCAATCCGCCTGCGTCAGCCTCCCGAAGTGCTGGAATTACAGGCGCGCGCCACCATGTCTGGCCTCAACTTTCCTTTCTTTTTTTAGTTCTTGCCTTGCAATGAAACAGTTCATTTACTTGGACAGTTTACCAATGGTCCGAGATTACATCTTACTACAAACAACTGGTTCGAGCCCACCTCCCTAATGTGATTATCTTCATTTTACTACAGGTATGTCAGCCAGGTAATTGTCTGTGACATAGCAGTGAAGAGGAAGTGGCATTTCCTGTGCAATTGCTGGCTGGCTGTGGACCTCGGAGACTGTGAGCTTGACCGCGTCTTCATCCCAGTTTCAAAGAGACAGCTCTTTTCCTTTAGGTACTGTTGGAAAATTACTATTAACAGTGAACATTGATGTTCACTATTAATGGAATTGTTTATTGTTGAATTGTTTTTAATGCAAATTAACATTTTATTAATATTTTATTTCAAACATACGTAAGCTTTACTGTTGTGGTTGTAAATGGTGTAACCATTACCTTAAAAATCAGAAGGAAAACAAAAAGACATTTGCAGTATAAAAATTATAAATATTGCCCTTATTTTCTGAAACTGTTTACCTAGAGAATCATTTATACATAATTTACTAAGATATCAAGGAATAAAACAATGACTCAGATCAATAGAATATAAAAAGGATACCACTACTTCTATTTATGAGAACAAAATATAAAAATAAAGGGAAGTATGAGAGGGCTGTAGCCTGCAACTGATTTTCAAAGACACTAGTAAACTGGCCGGGCACCGTGGCTCACGCCTGCAATCACTGCACTTTGGGAGGCCAAGGCAGGCAGATCACTTGAGGTCAGGAGTTGAAGACCAGCCTAGCCAATATAGCAAAACCCTGACTCTACTAAAAATACAACAATTAGTCAGGCATGGTGGTGTGCGCCTGTGATCCCAGCTACTCAGGAGGCTGAGGGAGGAGAATTGCTTGAACCTGGGAGGTGGAGGTTGCAGTGAACTGAGATTGCGACTGTACTCCAGCCTGGGCGACAGAGTGAAACTCCGTCTCAAAAAATACAAAGATGCAAGTAAACCAAAATAATTCAAGCAATGTGGTACTGGTGAATTCACAGACAGACCAGAACAGTATAATGTGCGTATCGACTTCTGTATCTTTCTAGGTATCCATGTATCTTTCTATGTCTCCTGAATGCTAAAGATGAGAATATGCCTAAAAGAATATACCTCTGCTATCTGACATTCTTCTTATCTTCAGCTTTCTGGTTCAATATTAGGGCTCTCGGCTTTTTCCTCATGGGAACAAGATGTCATTTTTCCTCATGGGAACAAGATGATTGCAAGAGGCCCAAACATCATGTCCTGGCCGGATATGGTGGCTCACGCCTGTAATCCCAGCACTTTGGGAGGCCGAAGTGGGCGAGTCACCTGAGGCCAGGAGTTTGAGACCAGCCTGGCCAACATAGCAAAACCCCATCTCTACCGAAAGTACGAAAATTAGCCAGACATGGTAGCATGAGACTGTAGTCCCAGCTACTTGGGAGGCTGAGTCAGAAGAGTGGCTTGAACCCGGGAAGCGGAAGTTGCAGTGAGCCAAGATAGAGCCACTGCGCTCCAGCCTCAGGGACAGAGAGAGACCCTGTCTCAAAACAACAACAAAACCAACCAGCCAAACACCATGTTCTTACATTAAAATGCCTAAAGGCAAAAAACATGGAGCTGTTTCTTCTGAGACCGCACTCCTATCCCGATCTTGTGTGATTGAGTAGTTAGGATGTCCAGAACAGCAAGAAATGTCTATTTCTTTATTAAGATCTGCTCCAATTACAATTGCTGCGTAACAAATTGCTCCCAAAACTGAGTGGATTAAAACAACCATTTTACTTTTCTCCTGGTTTTGTGGGTCAGAAATTCAGTAAGACCATGGCTGGGGAGTTTTCCCTCCGGCTCTTTCATCCTGGCTGGGTCTGTACTCATCTGTAGGTTCCTGTTAGATTTCCAAAAATTATTCGTTCACAAGGTCAGCAGGGGGCGCTGGCTGTCAACTGAGAGCTTATCTGTGGCTGTCAACAAAGCATCTAGGCATGGCTCCAGCCTCAGCAGAGTGGCATTTTTCATAGGGTGGCTGTCTCCCTCCAGAATGGGCAGTTCAACAGAACTAAGTAGGGGCTTCGGCCTTTTATGTCCTCACTTTGAAAATCAGATTCAAGGGGGAGGGCCGGGTATGGTGACTCACTCCAGTAATCCCAACACTTTGCGAGGCTGAGGTGGGCAGATCACCTGAGGTCAGAACTTTGAGCTCAGCCTGGCCAACATGGTGAAACCCCTTATCCACCAAAAATACAAAAATTAGCCGTGCACAGTGGTGCATGCCTGTAGTCCCAGTTACTGGGGAGACTGAGGCAGGAAAATCACTTCAACCCGGGAGGTCGAGGCTGCAATAAGCTGACATCGTGCCACTGCACTCCAGCCTGTGCAAAGGAGCAAAGATTCCATCTCAAAACAAATAAGTCTTGAAACTAAAAATCAGGGACTCTCAGCAAGCAAGAAGTGGAAAAAAAAAAAACAAAAATAAAAACAAAAAAACAATGAGTTCCTGTCTCCAAAACAAACAAGAAATATATATTTTAAATTGTGTGTTGCTTGTGTATAGGAATAAACTGGCGGAAATTGTCTCTCCTTTATGAAAACTTAAGGAGTAGTGAATACTATTTCCCCTCCTTGGACCCGATGCAGTTCTAGGTTTGGTTTGTTTTGTTTTGATTTTTGAGATAGGGTCTCAATGTGTTGCCCAAGCTGGTCCCAAACACCTAGGCTCAAGCAGTCCTCCTACCTCAGCTTCCTGAGTAGCTAGGATTACAGGCATACACCATTGCATCCAAAGTTCTAGTATTTTTAAAACATATATAGGTATATTTATTCAAACATTTTTGTTGTTGAAATGTGATTTTTTATCTGTTTAATCTCTGTGTTTCCAATAGAGGAATGACTGTGAGTTTAATTCTCCTTCAGTTACATAAGTTTTTACCATACAGACATATTTTACATGTCTATTGGATATTTATTAGGAGCGTTTAAGTGCATGTTATTCTTCTGGAGACATTGGGTTTTTTTTTTTTTTATTATATAGGTCTCTCTTTGATCCTGTTGACACTTTGTATCTTAAATTCCATTTTATATTAACTAAAGAAAGTTGACATACTGATATTATTGTTTGTTCTTATCTTTTTACTTTCAGCCTTTTTTATGGTTTTGCTTAGAGTTATGTCTTGCAAGCAACATATAACTGGATATTTAAAAAAGCAGATCTAATAATGTCTATCTTTTGATACATGACTTTACTATGTTTACATTAATTATGATTACTGATCTATTTGGACTTACTTTACCATATTATTTTGCATTATTTGTTATAATCCATTCTCTTTATCTACTTTCCACATTGTCAAATTGACAGGTTTTGTGGTTTTTTTAAGGTTCGTTGCCTCTTGTTGATTGTTTTTTGAGATGAAGTCTTGCTCTGTCACCCAAGCTGGAGTGCTGTGGCATGATGACAGCTCACTGCAGTCTCAACCTCGCTGGCCTCAGGTGATCCTCCCACCTCAGCTTCCTGAGTAGCTGGTACTACACGTGTGTGCCACCACGCCTGGCTAATTTTAAAACTATTTTTTGTAGAAACAGGGTCTCACCGTGTTGCCCAGGCTAGTCTTGAATTCCTGGGCTCAAGTGATCTGCATGTCTTGGTCTCCCAAAGTGCTAGGATTACAGATGTGAGCCACCATGCCTGACCACTTCTTGTATTTTTTAATCTTTGCTGGTTTAGAAACTATACATTGTGGCCCGGTGCAGTGGCTCAAGCCTGTAATCCCAGCACTTTGGGAGGCCGAGACGGGCGGATCACGAGGTCAGGAGATCAAGACCATCCTGGCTAACACGGTGA